GGCAGGACACTCGCAGATTTTCATTGCAAGTGCTCCGAGACTTAGGCTTCGGAAAGGGCTCTATGGAGGACAGGATCACCGATGAGATCCGTATTCTTATCAAACATGTCGATGAGGCTAATGGCCGACCCTTTAATATCCACAAATGCCTGACGCCCAGTATATCCAACAATATCTGTCACCTGGTGTTTGGCCACCGGTTCGACTACGATGACCCCAAACGCGTGGCTTTTGACCTGATGTTGGAAACCATTAGCAAGAAGTCCATAATAACCACAGCCTTCTTATCAGCGGCTCCCCTATGGTTAACAAAACGCATGTATAGTACCGGTGCTATCAATAGTAGGAAGGTGTTCGAGACTGTCGCCGGGGTTATTAGGTAATGATATTGCAGTTAATTCAATAAGTATGTGCAACATATTAAGTGTTGATTAAAATGTTTTGTTATTGAATTTAATGTAATCATACATAGAAAATTAAAATTTCAGATATATTTTAGTGAATTTTCTTAACACACTTCCCTCTATACAGTGCTTACATGTTAAGTGAAGGATTCCTTAAATATCTTGATTGTCAAGTCAATTATATATTTAAATAATACTATAAACTTTTATATTGAATGAATAGGTCGGAGATTTCATCGCATAAAAAGTCAATGAATCCTAACAACAAATTCCGCGATTATATCGACGGATACTTAGCGGAGATGGAAGTGAGACAACGAAAGGATCCCAACACTCACTTCACCCGTCAGTCCATACATACAGACATTGATTAATGAATTTAAAATTAATTTAAAACTCATTTATAGCCCAAAAATTGTCAGAAATGGTGCGAATACTGTTCGGCGCCGGGAGTAGTGCTGTTCAGGACTCCATTGAATTTCTGTTATTACTGTCCGTCAGATACAGCGAACACCAGAAGAGGATTCACTCAGAGATCGATTCTGTGGTCGGAAGAGATCGGAGTCCCTGTTATGCCGACAGACTTCATATGCCGTTCACTCAGGCGTTCATT